ACTCTGGGCACTGGCTTTAATCCTAGCTCTCTGCTAAAGACAAAATGGGACATTTTCCATGGTGGAATGAAGGGAGATGGGACCTTGGAAGGGAAACACTTTAATTTTACATCATCAATAATGCTTTCCATGATACCTCATCCTCCTGTGGGGGCCTCAGGAAATTTCTGTTCCCACGGCACCTCAAGAACTCCACTTTCACCAGTGACAGGTGGGGACATGGAGGACACCCCACCAATTGCCATCCTCAGGCAATTATTCTTGGGGGAGAAAAATCTGAGTTGCAAATTCCTTTTACCAGTCTATATATTTTAACCTTTCAGTAAATACAGAAACTAGAATACCCCTTCCTCAGTAAGTGTAACCAAATGATTGTTTCAAGCCCTAGCCAGTACACTCAGTTGGTTAAGAATGTCATCCAGATATGCTAAGGTTGTGGGTTCAATCCCCAGACAGGGCACATACAAGAATCAACCAATGAATGCATCAATAAGTGAAACAACAAATCAGTGTCTCTCTGTCTCTCTTCCTCCCTCTCTCTAAAATCAATTTAAAAAAAAAAAGTAGAGGGAAGAGTCAGGTTAGTTGTTGGAAATGGGTTCCAAAGGTGTGAAGGCAATTCCATCCACCGTTAGCAAAGGGAAATGACCCTTAAATCCTAAAATAATCTATCATTAGGTCAAATGATTGTTTCAAAATACTCTCTATTATGCTGCTTTTTCAAAAAGTGTACATTTTTTTTACAGTTAAAATACGGTTGTTTTTTTTAAATTGATTTTTAGAGAGAGGGGAAGGGAAAGAGCAAAAAATATTGATGTGAGAAACATTGATTGGTTGCCTCTCATACACATCTCAGCCAGGGATTGAACCTACAACCTAGGTATGTGCCCTTACTGAGAATCAAACCCGCAACCTTTTGGTGTACAGAACAATGCTCCAACCAACAGAGCCACCCAGCCAGGGATATTGTTTGTTTGTTTTTAAGTTGAAATGGCTATATTAATATAAAGTAAAGTATATTTCAGAGCAAAAAATATTACCAAAAATAAAGGGTGTCATTTCTTAATTATAAAAAAGTCATCAAAAGGACATAATTCTAAGTGGTTCTGTATGATAGCCAAGCTTCAAAATTCATGAAACAAGCACTGATAGAACTGCGATGAGAAGTAGACAAATCCACAATCCTAGCCAGACAAAAATAAATAATAAATAAATAAATAAATAAATAACTCAAGAATAAATTTAACCAAGGAGGTAAAAGACCTGTATGTGGAAAACTATAAAACACTGAAGGAAGAAACTGAAGATATAAATAAATGAAACAATATACCATGTTCATGGATAGGAAGACTTACTATCATTAAAATGTCCATATTATCCTAAGCAATCTACAAATTCAATGCAATCCCCATGGCATTTTTCACAAAAATAGAATAATCCTAAAATTTATTTGAAACCACAAACGATCTCAAATAACCAAAGCAATCTCGAGAAAGTAAAATAAAGTTGGATTTACCATGCTACCTGACATCAAACTATATTACACGGCTACAGTAATCAAAATAGCATGGGATACTGGCATAAAAACAGACACATAGATCAGTGGAACAGAATAAAGAAGGCTGAAATAAGCCCATACCTCTATGGTCAATCAGTCTATGACAAAGAATGCAAGAATATACAATGGGGTAAAGACAGTCTCTTCAATATATGGTGTTGGGAAAACTGAACAGATACATGCAAAACACTGAAACCAGACCATTTTCTTACACTATATACAAGAATAAACTGAAAATGGATTAAGTACATATAAGACTTGAAACCATAAAACTCCTAGAAGAAAACACAGGCAGTAAACTTTGTGACACCACTTTTAGCAATATATTTTTTTCTATATACCTGCTCAGGCAAGGAAAACTAAAGAAAAAAAATTAACAAATGGGACTAAATCAAACTAAAATGTTTTTGCACAGCAAAGGAAACCATCGACAATACAAAAAGGACAAACTACTGAATGGAAAAAGAATTCACCAATGGCACCTCTGATATGGGGATAATATCCAAAATGTGTAAGAAACTTATATAACTCAACCAAAATAACAAATAATACAATTTAAAAATTGGCAGAGAATCTGAATAAACACTTCTCCAAAAAGAATGTACAGATGACTAACAGATGTATAAAAAAGATGCTAATCATCAGGGAAATGTAAACTAAAACCACAATGAAATACCATTTCACCTGTGTCAGAATGGCTATCATCAATAAATCAACAAACAAGCGTTGTCGAGGATGTGGAGAAAAGGGAACCCTCATGCACTGTTGGTGGAATTGTAAATTGGTGCTGCCAGTATGGAAAACTCTATGGGGGCCCCTCAAAAAAGTAAAAATATAACTACCATATGACCCAGCAACTCCACTTTTGGGTATTTATCTGAAGAAATCCAAAACACTCATTGGAAAAGCTGTATGTACCATTATTTACAACAGTCAAGATATGAAAGCAACCTACGTGTCTATTGATACATGAATGGATAAAGATATGGTACATATATCCAATATTATTCAGCCATAAAAAAAAGAATGAAATCTTACCATTTGCAACAACATGGATGGACCTAGCAAATATTATGCCAAGTGAAGTAAATCCGACAGAGAAAAACAAATACCACATGATTTCACTTATATGTGGAATCCAAAAAATAAAATAAACGAACAAACTAAACAGAAACAAACTCATACAAACAGGGAACAAATTGATGGTTGCCAGATGGGAGGGGGATTGGGAGAAATGGGTGAAAGGTGAAGGGAATTAAGAAGTACAAATTTCCAGTAATAAAAATAGTCATGAAGACGTGAAGTACAGCATGGGGAATTCAGTCAATAATAAAAGCTATATATGATGTCAGACGGGTACTAGACTTAAGGGGGTGATCACTTCATATAAGTGTCTTATTACTGTGTTGTACACCGGAAAGTAATATAATATTGTATATCAACTCGAACTGGAAAAATAAATAAAAATAGGTTTTTCTGATTCCAAGTCCACATTATCAATCAATTTCTATCCATGCCAGATGGCATTCCTGCTGTATTCTCAATTCTCTCTCATACTGTCAGCTGTTCCTTTTAATTGAGATAACGAATTCTAGGTAGCCTTTCTGAATTTTTTTCTATGGCTTAGAAAGAAAAGCCAAGTGTTTTAAGAGTGTCCTAATTTGCCCTGCCAGTTTGGCTCTGTGATTAGAGCATCAGCCCAGGGTCCAAAGGGAGTCAGTTTGACTCCCAGTCAAGGGCATGTACCTCAGTTGCAGTTCAATTCCCGGCACTGGTTGGGAGCGTGAGGGAGGGAACCAATCAATGTGTCTCTCACGTTGATGTTTCTCTCTCTCTCCCTCTCTCTCTCCCTTCTCCCCCTCCTCCCTCTCTCTAAAAATCAGTGGAAAAAATATCCTCGAGTGAGGATTAAAAAAATAGTGTCCTAATTTTACACCCCCCCCCATCAAAATGGATTTTAGCTATAAATAAAGCTTCTTTTACACTGCATGCTGTTTTAACTCCCAGGATGTGTCCTTCACAGATTGTATAAAAGAAGAAAAAGTTAAATTATACACTACCAGTGCCACCTTTGTGTACGAAAGCAGACAACAGGAGAGATGACTAGAAATGTACTCAAAGACAACTTCAGAGACTGAATATTACATTTATTATTGTTGCAGCACGTATATTTATAATTAAGGCCTGAGTAAAAATAATGAAGTAATCCTTGATCAAATGCTATCTATATTCTATGAAATCTACTGTATCATTTTTGCAAGACTGAGAGAAATCCTCAAATACTCTATCTGGGCTTCTTCTGAAATGTACTGGTGACCAATTAAATGCACAAAGTTTTTATGGTTCTCCTATCTCCTACACTGGACACTGTCACTTCCCATTTTTATTTCTATTGAACTTCCCACTTTTACAAAATTTTTTTAAATTTTTCAATTACAGTTGACATAACAATACTGTATTAGACAGTTATACACCTGGACTTCCCACTTTTAATTTGCTACCTAAAATAATTCAGGAACTCTATTAAAAAGAGTAATTGGTTTTATACATAATTATTTACATAAAGTAATAAACAATCCAGTGACATTTTAAAGATAAAGCAGAATGTTTGAAATTCATTGCATCTCAGTGAAGAAATTCTACTATTGCCTGTAAATGAAACAGTGACATCAATGAAACAGTGACATCAACATAAAGGAAAGCTCCCTGTATTTAAAACTAGGCCTTCTCTGTCCTTTTTTGTGTGGTAAAATATACATAGTAAATTTACCATATTAACCATGTTTTTTAAATATATACACACATATATAATTGATTTCAGACAGAGGAAGGGAGAGGGAGAGAGAGAGAAACATCAATGATGAGTCATTGATCGGCTGCCTCCTGCACGCCCCCTGCTGGGGATGGAGCCCACAACCGGGCATGTGCCCTGACCAGGAATCAAACCTTGATCTCCTGGATCCTAGGTTGATGCTCAACTGCTGAGCCATGTTTAAGTGTACAGTTCTACGGCATTAAATATGTTCACATTGTTGGGAAACCATCCCCACTATCCATCTCCAGATTATTTTCATCATACGAAACTTAAACTCTGTGCCCATTAAACAGTAACTCCTAATTCTTTCATATCTCCAGCCCCTGGTAACCACTAGTCTCTATAAATTTGCCTATTCTAGTTACCTTATATAAAGGGAATCATACAATATTTGCCTTTCTGTGTCTGGCATAATGTTTTTAAAGTTCAGAATTTCATTCCTTTGTAAGGCTGAATAATATTCGTTTGTAAGTACATTATGCTTATTTATTTATCTGTCAATGGACAATTTGGTTATTTCCAGTTTGGGTTATTGTGAATAACGCTGCTATGAACACTGCTTTCAGTCTTTTAAACATCAAACAAGTGAAGGCCAACTTTCTTTCACAGGGAAGTATTATCACATACCACAGTAAAGAGTTTTCGCTGCAATGGTTGATACGATGTCACTTCCTTCAAAGTCCAAGAGCAAGCCATGTTTGGTCTCTGTCCCATTCCACTGCAGGGTGCATCAAGAAGAATACGGTCAAAAGATTCTGGTAAGAATGGAGGCTCCCCTAGAAAGAGAATTATAAACATATTTGAATATGCCCTATTGGTCTATAATAAAAAAACTCCTGACACAGAAGCAATTATCAGGAATTTAAAATCATAGTCTGGAACAGAAAGTAGAAAAAAGCAATTCCTTCCTTCAATCAAGTAACTGGTGAAACTAATCCTGACTTATATTTAATATAGACCTGACTTCATAAAAAGGTTAAAAATGAGATTATTACAACTGAGGGTTACTCTGTTCATACAGTGCAAACCAAGGCCTAATCAAATGAGACCTTGTATCCCCAATGTCAGATGCCACAAATCATCAGAGCTGGGACCGGGAATGAATTCAAGTCATTTCTGAGAGCCAAGCTGATACTTCCTTTGGTAATCCCTATTGCAGACAGCAGAAAAAGAGAGTATCTATCAGGTTCCAGTCAAACATACTAATTCTGTGGTTTCTCAGGCTCCTTGCTTCTGGGGCCATCAGCAAGGCTACACTCTACACAAGTTAACAGCTCCCTGGATCCAATCTTTCACAGGTTTCCCTCTGCATTCATTTAAGTAATTGTCTCCAATCCAATTTCTGATCTATTTGGTGTTATTGGAGAAAGTCATAAAACCAAACAATCTGTTTATATATTTAAGCTAGCTAACAGCAAGACAATGCTGACGACTGCTTTTGTACAAAGCTAGTGGATTCCCCACAGTACCCACAATATCGTTCCGAATCTCACCAACGTAACTTTCTGCTTTTCTCTGACTGCAAAACTGTCAGACAAAAGTTCCTATCTATTTAACTCATCTCCACCTATAACCATCTTTGCTTTACCTACTGTCTCAGAACACACATCTTTTCGACCTAAATAACTATTTTCAAGCTTCCTGATATACTGATAAATGCTCTCTAGAAAGACTATGCCAATTTACACTTCCATTATCATGAGTGCATCTGTCATCCCCAAATCCTCATCAATCCTTTTATTGGCCAATAGTGTTTTTTCTTCATATGGTCACATTCTTTATTTTTGCCCTTTTTATACTGAGACTGTTGTATTTTCTTATTAATTAGAAGAGTTCTTTGTATATTAAGAATATTAATCTCTTCTCTCAGTTTGTTGGGTCTTTTTATACATGTAATTGTTGAATATCAAATATATCCCTTTCCTTGTTGAGTTTTACCTTTGCTTTCATGCTTTAAAATCTTCTCCATTTGTGCAGTCAGATAAAAGCTCACCTTTATCTGCCTCTAGCTATTTTTACTTTAATTCTTTACAGTAAACTCCTTAATCCATCTTCAAATTACTTTGTGTACATCCTTCCCCTCACCCTCCAACATAATTTGTCTCAGACCTATTTATTAACTAATTTATTCTTTCTTCCAGGTTTGAAATGTTTCTTTTATCGTATGTATAGGAACTAATTTCAAGGGCTTTTGTTTTGCCCCCACTATGCTAGCTATTAATCTATATTTTCTGAGCTCCAAATCTACCCGTCTCTCCTCTGCTGTGTGATGCTGAGGTGGGAACTCTGAACAATTCTCCCTTGCTTTCTGGCTTCCTTTCAAGATTCACTAGTTCCAGGAGATAGAGGAGTGAAGGGGGTGGGGAGATGAGAGACAAGGACTACGGAATGGACTTTATCATTCCTGTTTGCTTCCTACTCCTGTCAAGAGCATCCCAACAGCCCTTTACCTTGGCAGCTGCAGTTTCTAGCTTCTTCCATTAAGTATCAATATGGAGTGGACAGAGACCCCTCCCTCAGAGGTCTAAGCCCCAGTTCCATCACACTGCCTGCTTTGAGTCCTAAGGAACGAGCAGCAGCTGGGTAGCACCCATGTCCTCAGAGTTTTGAATTTCAGCTCCATGGAGCCTCTTCTGAGAGCTTTTTGGTTCTAATAAGCAATCCCCCTCCCTTTGTTTCTCCCTTTGTTTCTTTCTGCAGCCATTATCTCTAGGTTGCCTAAGTGATCGCCTTCTGCTGTTTCAGCTCTCCAACATCTATTTAACTGACTCCTTATCCTGTTTATTTGTACTAAATTGTCTCTTTCATATAAATTTATACTAAATTCTCTCTATTGAAATACCTTGCACAGTTTTGTTTTGAATCCTGTGGCAGATGAATTCCCCTAAAATACAGCTCTCAATAAGTTTTTCATTCCTCTGACATTAATAAAACCAAAAATTATCATTAGTTCCACAGCTACCTAACATTCTGAAATAAACTCCTTAGATTAACAAATAAAGACCATTAATAATATGGCCTCATCTACTTATACAGTCAAATTTCTCTGTACTCCTCCATATTCACCAATGTTAAAAACAAAGCAAAACAGAACATTGCTTTGTTACCCAAAATGCATAAACTTTCCTATTTGCATGCCTCTGCTAATTCGCTTTACCTGAGATGTCTTCCGCACTCACTTCCATTTGTCAAAATGCTACCTACCCTTTCAAGGTCTGACAAATGCTACCTCCTCCCTTAAGCTCTTTTTCGACTGTCCCTATGAGAAATAAGCATTTTCTCTGATTTCATTTTGTATATTTTAGGTGCACAGTCTTAAAATATAGTCACTAGTGTTCATGTCTTATCCCCTCCACCCCCCCGTCCCCAGGAACTAAAAAATTCTTAAAAGCCAGGGAATCTGCAAGCCCACAAGATACTTTTGTGTGAACTGGACTAAGGCAATCTGACCTCTGGATTAACATGGTCCTGCACAAGATGAACAGAGCATGGGACAGAATTCAGCCCCCACTCACCCCTCAGCCTGGTGTACTTGCACAGGGCAAAATGGTACACTGTGGCCCTGATAAAGGTAGTAGCAATGCCTAGTCACTGAACTCACTGTTCCTAATAAGTACAATTTTCATAAGAGGTACTGGATGACTATAAATAAAGAAATTTATAAAAAATATTCTAAATCTGTCTTAGATCAGACCAAAAATCACCAAAATGCTCTCCAAATGCACCTGATCCAAGTGAAATTTCTCTTATTCAAAACTAGAAAGACAAGGGATAAACTTATAAGGCTTATATGTAGTGCAAGAGTGCCAGTATTTTTGTTTAGACAAACCTTTTTCTCATAATATGTAATCTTGGAACTACCTTTAGAGATTTGTAAAGCTGCATTCCTTTGGGATGGTGTATAATTTAGAAGCAATTTTACATTAAAAATAAATGAGATTGAGACAACTTTTGGAATGAGGGCATGAGGAGCTCCACAACCTTTTCTCCAATGGAACAAGCATAACTGGTGAAAATTATCAAAAATAAAACCTCCATTTAAAGTCTCTGGAAAATGTACAGGACATACATCAAATGAAGAAACATTTATTCAAGAAAATACACTACATCTTGGCAAGAACAGTGAGAATCTATGGCAACTGAGCCACAACCCATTCACTCCTTTGACCCAACTGCCTCTCTTTTCCCTGAAGCTCAGAATGAAAGGAGATCCACTTCATGCGGGTGCAGCCAAGAACGCATGGCTCCCTCTCTCCCTAAGCTCCAGGTCAAGGAATATGGTAACTCATCCAGAAGGGCAGGTCTGCCAGTACTTTTCTTCCCTCCCCCTCAGTCCCACATTGCAGAGGTTCAACTCCAGGTAAGAGCACCTGAAAACTCTGGGGCTGCCCTCCTCCACCCAGCCCAATTCATAGGTGGGCAGCTCTACCTTGGGCACAGAAGCTGAGAACAGTAAAGCCCCACTTCCCTTAGCCCAATTCACTGATGATGAGGAAGTTCCACATTAGGAGAGGCAATCTGAGAAAACCAGAGGATGCCGAGCCAACCCAGTACTATGCTGCTCACTCATCAAGTGCCACTCCAAGAGAAACAGGTCACCATCTTGCCCTCATCTCTGGAACAGTGGGCCAGAGGTGAGAGGTCGCAAATAAAGACAGAGCTCAGGTGCTCTCCCCAAGTGAACTGATTTTGACTACAATGATGGAAAGTTTAAGCCTAAGGGCACTCTTGAAAATCATGAAGATTGTGATGGTAAGCAATTAAGAGAAGGCCAGCAGCTCCATGACAGCAATAAGCTAAACCACAGACCTGCCAGAGGTTTACCTGAGAACCAAGAAATGAGACAGCTAAGAAGAGCCCTCCTGGGGTGAGAAGAAACCTCAGAGACAGGCCTCAAAGATTACATATGCGATGGACTCCAAAATGTTAGATCAAAATGGTGAAGTAGTTTATGCCCCAGAGCACTGTTGAAAACAACAGCATAATCAACCTGAAATGAGCAGAGGCAAATAACATCTTGTAATACCAACGGAAGCAGACCATTTAACACAAAGATCAGAGAAAGAGACAGTAAAGAGAGCCCCCATAAAACCATTGTCATCCCAGGATTACTGTGTACCTGCCTGCAAAATACAACTTACTAGAACAGTCCAGCCATCACAGTAAACATATAAGCAAACAACTACAAGCCTGGGAAGGAGTGATATGTATCTAGAGTTGTTGCCACTTATTACCGAGTTTTCAACAACAACAAATTATGAGTTATGCAAAGAAACATGAAAGTATGACCCAACACAACAGAAACTCTCTTTGAGAGGTCGTAGATGGCAGACATAGTAAAGACTTTATAGCCAATAAAAAATATGTTCAAAGAATTGAATAAAAAGAAATTCTGCTTCAGGAAGCAAAGGAACATACAGCAACAATGTCTCACCAAATAAAACACATCAATAAGTACAAGTTACAAAAAAGAAACCAAAAAAAGGAAATTCTGGAGTTGAATGTGTAATAACAAATGAAAAATTTACTAAAGGGGCTCAATCACAGACTTAAACTGACAGAAAAAAGAATCAGTGTACTTGAAGTTAAAAGAACAGAGATTATGCAATCTAAGATCAGAGACATAAATAGAGCCTCAGAGAAATGTGTGACACCATTAAGTGCACCAATATAGACATAATAAGAGCACCAGAAGAGGAGAGACAAAAAGTAGAAAAATAATTGAAAAAAATTATCCAAGAAGCTCAAATATTAAGTAGGACAAATGCGAAAAGAT